AAAACAAAAAAGAAAGAGAGGAATAAGAACAACAGAACTGATGAATAAGGAAGAAAAGAAAAAAGAAAAAAGAACGCCCCCCCCCCCCCCCCCCCGCGCGCGTCGCGCGTGGGTTGAGTGTGAGAGGCGGGCGCGTTTGTTTGGAGCTCTTTGGACTCGACCCGCAAAATAAATAAATAAAACGGACACCTCTACTAGGAGATGGGTAAAAAGGAACAGGTCCCCGCCCTGCGGTCTTTGTGCAGGGTTCTTTGTGGGTGTGGTCGGCGGCTAGCCGGGGTCGTCCTCCCGATGGGGGACTAGCACTAGCCGTCTTCCACATGGTCCCTCGGGTCCCTGCTGCTCCTAATCTCTTCGTACATCCTCCTGCTGATCTCCGCAACGTCCTGCTCCCTCCCTCGTCTCGCCCTGCGCGACTGCTCCGCCTCACCGTCGTCCGCCCTGCGTCGTCTGGTGACGGGTCCTCCATAGTCGGTTGAGGTCGCCGCCCTCCTCGTGCCTCTTCCCAACGTTCCCTCGGCGGTCGATGCCGCCTGGTCCGCCTCCGCCGTCCCCGGGTCTGCCCTGCCCTCGTCTGCACTAGCTTCTGTTTCGTCATCACTGGCGCCTCTCCTCTTCTTTCTCCTCTTCTTGTATGCTTTGTACGTCGCGTCGATTCCTTTTCGCGTGAGCACCATCCTGAAGCTCGCCCAGCAGCGGAACCGCTCCCGAAGTCGAAGGAGCATCATCAGTCTCACCCACTTCGCTCTCTGCCCACCGTCTCCGCTCCCTCCCGCTTGAGCCGCCGTCGCGGCCCTCGTTCGTCCCACTGGCTGTTGGCCTGTCTGCACGTTGCCTCCGTTATCCCTCCTCCTCCGCGACTCCCTCAAGACCGGGCGGGCCTCCTTCCACCCAGCGAAGAGCTTCCTCAGCCACTCGATGTGTTCCTCTCTCTTCATTATGCGCGCCGTTGCTTCGTCATTGAGCTGTATCCACCTCTGCACCGCTCCCGTCGCCGCCTCGGCCACGACTTGCAAGTTCCTCGTGACCCCGGTGCCAAGGTCCCTTCGGCTCTTCTCCGAGAGGTCATCTACCAGTGCTGGCAACACCCCCCCGACTGCGGGGGCCAGTGTATCGTACCCGTCCTCATCCAGCACCCTGTAGCGTGAGCCCTTCAGCGCAGCGACATGCGCCATCCTCAGCGTCTTCAGCGTCTCCTTGGAGTCGGGTGCCGCCTGTGCCACTTTGCTGATCGCCGTCCCTGTCTGCGCTCGCGCTACTCTGAGGAACCATCTGGCCTGCTCCCTATTCCCCAGGCAGGCGCCGCTAAGCACGTGCGCCATTGTCGCTCTAGGCGGGTTCTCATCTTCCTCGGTCCATTGCTGCGCGGCTTTCCGCACGATCGGACACAGCGGGTCCCGCTTTAGTGCTGCCCTCCTCGCCGCGTCCCTCGCGGCCTTACAGACGAGGCAGCCCCTGAGTTCGCTCCTTGTGGCGGCGCCCGGGGTCTCCCTCCCCGCCTCGCCCCGCATGATCCTCTCGTGGTGCGCTCCGTGTGGCACCCCCGCCTGCTGCCGCACCCGCGCTCCCATGACGGTCTTTGTCACCACGTTGTGATCATCCACGTCGGCGAATTGTATCTCACGCTCGCCGTGCTGATCCTTGATCCGCTGGCGCTTGTCCCATTTGTGTCTCGTCGTCCCCCTGACCACGTCGCTCCACAGCGGCCCCGTGACCCCTGCCGTGTTTGATACGTATCATCGTGTTTTATACGTATCACTGATTGTATCACCGTGTTGTTGCCAGGCGGTATCAAGGGCAAAGAAAGCTCAAAGAAAGAGAGCAAAAGAACACACGGTAAGAAATAAAGTTAAAGACGAAGAAAGACGCAACACAGCCCCCACCCGCCCCTCCTCGATCCCACTCTCGGAGCCCCTCGAGAGAGCCTTTTCGGTACGCCGCCTCGATCTGCTGTAGCGCGGGCTTGCAGTCGCTCAAGACGAGGCACCTCCTGTCCGCCGCATCTTCCGCCGTCGCCATCTTACGCAGGTAAGCCAGCACCGCGTACATTTCCGCGTCTATCACCTGCCAGTCGTCTGGCAGTCTGCCGCCCCACAGCCCCTGCCCAAACGCGAGCCGCAGCTCATCGTCCCCGCCTTCGAGCTGTCCAGACCCCTCGACGGGTCTCCCGAATCGGGCCGGCCCTTCGTACACCCCATACGACACTACTGGTCGAGGCACGAACCTATCCCCCACCCACTTGTTTGGCATGTCTCTCCCTCCATCCGTCGCAGCGAGGTGCGTGAAGGGCCGCGCTCTGTGCAGCGCGAGGCATATCCTGGCAACCTCCGCGTTGAGCCCACGGCCCTTCTCCGAGCCGAGCGGCTCTTTGTCCTTGCCCATCATTACCTGCGTCCCGTTCCTGTCGGACAGCGCCCGTGTCCCGACCTCAAACTCGTCCCACCGCAGTAGGAAGCGCGTAAGCGGATCCTCCTGGAGTTCGGCGTCTCTTACCCACGCGCCGTGCCTCGGGGGCGAGCCCTCCATCTCTCCTATTCTTCCGGACTGCCGGAGCCGAGTTCAAAGTTTTCTTTCTGCGACGGTGTATCATTCATTTTATGCCGCTCAGCTAGCTAGGGCTCGGCCGACCGTCGAATCTGGCGACTCACGACGGCGGGCGGGCCACCGCCCCCACCCTTCACTCTACAGCCCCGGCGCCCACGCCTCGACCTTCTTGGGCAGCAGCTGGTTCGACAGGTCCTCTCCGTGGCCTAGGCAGCCGTGTTCGCCCTGGCCCCAGGCGAAGACAGCGCCGTCAGCGGTGATGGCGATGCTGTGGTCGATTCCCGCGGACACAGCGACGACGCGCCGCCCTTCCAGCGTCTCGAC